GCCAGTGTCTGATGTCTGTAAATGGCTTGTATTTACACAAGAGCCGAGGAGATTGCTGAAATGGCTGTACTCTGGGAGAGCTTTATGACAAAGATGAGTTATGAGGAGTGTTTGATGAAGAAAAAGGACATTCAGGTGGAGAGGCCGGTGGTGGTGGTGGTGGTGGTGGTGGAGGCAGGTGTCCTGGGTCGTAGAGGGCTTGGCATTGCAAGAACAGGTGTCAAGTGACAGAGAGGGGTAAGTGGAATTCCAGTCTCATCAATGTCGGTAGGCGAAGGGGTGCGTGGAAGTGGCTAGCCGCAAACTCGTGATCAGGAACTGTCATTTAAAGCAGTGGGAAATCAGCTACGTGGACCTGGGGAATGATTGAGTGGTACCTGTTGGTAAGTTGCTGAGGAAGGGATGATGACATTGGCAAAGACATGAGAGCGAGCATTCTTGGTCTCTAAAAGTGAATCTGGAGGGAAGGAGTCTAGAAAAGGCCGAGGCACCTACAGTGGGAGCCAAAGGGCCATGGCTGGAGTCAGGTCATAGCAAGGGAAGGGTTGAAAGTATTTTATGTGGGGCAAGAATTACTGTGAGAGATTACTCTCACCTCCAGGGTTAGAGATGAGGCAAAGAAATATTTAGGTTCAAGGGAAACCTAATCACAAATCAGGAAAATGGGAGGAAAGTCACGCCACGGGTGCCAGTGGAGGAAGTGGGAGAAAGGGTTGCTGCGGTAATAAGAATCATCTCCGGATGTGGAATGTGACGTGTAACGACTTTTTGAGAAGTAAACACTAGTAGAAAGTTGTGGTGCACAAAACATTTTGTCGATGTCTAAAGACCATGTGTAAATTTCATGTAGATGATATAAAAGACTTTTCAGGACGCTGTTTATTTTGGTGTTTACCTTACTGACGGCAGTTTGGCTCACAAACATGCCTGTTGGCAGCTGCTGGTTTCTTCCAGAGAACCAGTTCCTGGGCCCTGGGAAGACTCACTTGGAGAACTTCAAGGCCTTTAATGTGAGGGCACAGGGGCAAAAAGTAGACGAAACTGGGAAAGCAGGGAGACTGAAACAGAGGGAGTGAATGCACCATCGAGACTTAGATTTTCCTCAACGAGAACTGGAGAATAACTGATGCTCTTTCAAGCCAGAGAATCACATGGGCAAATGTACATGTTAGAGAAACCCAACAAGCAGCAGACAGTGGAGGAGACCATACAAGTGAGACCACAGCCTAGAAGGGAAGTATTTAAAGAATAACCAGAAATCCCATTTGCTAGAAAATATTAATTATGAGGCTGCCTAAATGGGAACAGCTGGACAACATGGGCTAAGTCCCCATGATTTTTAGACTTAACAGAGCTAGGATATTTATATATGGCTAGAATACTGAGGGTCATATGACAGCCAGGGATTAATTTGCTCCAGAAATTGAAAAGAAGAAAGCAAATAAGCACTTGAGTGAACAGAACTTTAAATGAAGAAGGGGTAAGAATATTCTGGTTAAGACGTAAATTATGAAGATTGTCTGTGTGGGTCAGGGTTTAGCCAGAGGCAGAATCGGTAGGATGTGTGTATATACCAAGAGGATTGGCTTAATTGTGGGGCTGTCTGAGCAAGCCCACATCCACAGGACAGATAGCCAGGAAGAGAAGGGAACTAGCCAACTGGAAATTCATTAACTCAAGCTTAAGCTGAAGCTTGGAGTCTCTGAGCTTCAGGAAGTGCCTAGTCCAAGGGTGGGCAACCCCTGGCACGCGTGCCAAACAGTAACTTTTGCTGGCACGCGAAACCCTCTCTTATAATCTTCCATTTGCAATTTTTTTCTTAATATTGACTTTTTATTTTTCAGATAAATTCAGTGTAGGTGTATCTTAGATAAATAAATAATTTTACATAACAAGTTATCTTAAAGACCATAGACATGGCTGACTTTGAAATGCAGTTGATTGAATTTCAGAGTAGCTCAATTTGGAAGCAGAAATTTCTTGACCTTAGAGTTGACTTGGTAAACATTGAAAAAAAAAGTGATTAGAGACAGGAGTACCGGAGAGAAGTGTCGAAAACGAACTATTGAAATAAATGTATTTTTCATCATCATATACTGTTGTATTTTTTTTGCTTGAATGAATTTTATTATTTTCTTCAAGGTGCTTCACATACATACACCTTAAGAGATATCAAGTAGGCATAACATCTTCTCAAAAAGTTAGGGTTGGCACGCAGAAGAATATTGAGTCAGAGATTTTGCTGGTTTTGGCGCACACTCACAAAAAGGTTGCCACCCCTGGCCTCATCACTCTTTAAAGGCCTTCCACTTGACTAATAAGTCAGACCCAACCAAGATGATAGCCCCTTTTTGAAAGACAGTACCTATAGCATATACCTGAGTGGGGAATTTAAATTATGATCCATTTTGATGTTTGGGACATCTGGACTTCTCGTACCCTGCAGTGCTTCTTGTACTGATAATGATTGGGTGGTTACTGTGCTCTAGGCCCTGTTTGGGGAGCCGGGAAAACCAGAAACAAAATAAGCAAAGCTTCTGCCCTTGGGAAGCTTATATTCTAATAGAAAAAAATTGAAGACATTGAGTGTTGAGGAACAAAATAAAGCTGGAATGGGCATTATGGAGCCTATGGGAGTCGGGAGAAGAATGTTGTTATTTGTTAGAACAGTGTTCAGAAAAGGGCTCAGTGAAGGATAACTGAGTGAGACACAAGCCACACAGACATGGATGGGAGCAGGGGGGAGGAGGGAGGGGGAATCCTTTGCACAGCGAGTACAAAGGCCCTGAGATGGAAACGTACCTGGGCTACTAGAGAAACACCAAGGAGGCCAGTGTGCCTGGCTGAGGGTGAGCACAGGGAGAGGTGAGAGATGAGGGAACTTAAATTCCTGGAATAAAAATGTATGCCATGCAGAGGATATTGAGAGCAGTGAAACTACTCTATGATACCAAAAGGGTGGAGACGTGCCATTATACATTTGTCCAAACCCATAGAATGTACAGCACCAAGAGTGAACCCTAATGTAAACTATGGACTTTGCTTAATTGTGACATTCAATGTAGGTTCATCAGTTGTAACAAATGTACCACTCTACTGGGGGAGGCTATGCCTGTGGGGGAGGAAGGGTAAATGGGAAATCTCTGTACCTTCCTCTCAATTTTACTGTGAACCTAAAACTGCTCTATAACATTGTCTTCAAAAAAAGAGAAGGAAATAAAATACAAATTTGCCATTTATAGAGAGAAGCTGCACAGTTACAGCAGCCAGGTCCCAAGGAGATAGAAAGAACAGCAAGAAACCCCTCAAACGTGTAGATGCACTGTTCTCCATTGTCACCTAGAAGCCTCATTTCTTGCCTGAAGCCTGGGCCACCTGCTTTATAGCTGGTTTTGTCCCCAGGCTGCCCTGCAGTCCTCTCTAACACTCTACTCCCTGTTCTTTTATCAGTCAAAGATTTTATCTTCATTCATTTAAAAATACTAATACCCCCACATTCTTTGACTTTGCCAATTCTAAATACAAGGTTTCCCATCTCAGCCATCATGCACATCTCCGCTCTCGATGATGATTTTCAGCCAAGATCTCCAAACCCAAACATCTCTGTCCACAGCTACCTGTCCTCTTGCCTTGTCCCTTTCCCCCAACTCTCTCTCTCTCTCTCTCTCTCTCTCTCTCTCTCTCTCTCTCTCTCTCTCTTTCTCTCCCCATAAGGGAAGACTTGGCCCTGACTTCCCTGATAAATTTAAAGCCATCCCTCAATTCCTCTTTACACCTGGAAATGTTTAGTGTCCTCACCCATTTCCCCTTCTTTCATTTCTGTTTGGAAGATAAAGTGTAATTAGGTCTTTTCATCACCCTTTCAAAAAGTAAACCCGTTCATTCCCTTTGTATTCCTCCCTTCAAGATCTGACTTTATTTTTTACTCTTTCTTTTGGCATTTTCGCCTTTTCCCTTTCTGCTAACTCCTTTTCTTGGGTTTTTAAACATGATAGAAATTCTTCTCTCTTTCAACACAAAAATAGCATCCCTGTAACCACACTGCCCCCTCAGGCACCTGCCCTATTCCTCCTGTCCCCACCAAGCTTCCTGAGGGAACAGCTTGTGTTCCCTTCCCAGCGCGCTCACTCTGAGGCTCTGCCTCTGTGCTGAGTTTTCTCTTAACAGCTGGGATAATTTAATCTGCATACTCAGTGGCTTCCTGCTTTTCGCTAACCAAAAGTTTTATGCTAAATTCCCTTCTCATTTTACACTATCCTTGATAATTTCATCCTTTCCTTAGGCTTCTAACATTATCTCTATTTGTATCCTTACATCACCATGCCTGCATTCTCTTCATAGGGGATAGAAATGACTCACAAATAACCAAAATGCAATAATGTAGGAAATTCCTGAAGTTGAAGGTGGAGACAGATGGTCACAGATGGCAGGTATGATGAAGGCCCTCAGGGTGACAGAGGTGTGGAAGGGTCCTGACCGCCCTCCCACCCGTCTTGGCTCCCCCATGCCAACCCACTCAGGCTGTGCTTTCATTCCCTTTCCATGTCAAGATCACCCTTTTCTCTGTTCTGTCACTTTCTCCCACAGTCAGGGTTTAGAAACTCCTTCCCGATCTTCTGGGCCTCGCCTCTGGCCCCAGGTGCTAGTACAGCATTCAGTTCCACGCGACTTGGATCAACTCCAGTGAAGTGCAGAGACACCCGGTGCCACCATTTGGGACGGCCGGGGGCGGGGAGACCGCCAGCACTGTGCGAAGGCGGCCTGGAAGCGTGCAAGAGCGGATGATCCGTGGAACCACTG